GGTGAATACAACTAGGTGAATACACACTTGAGAGAGCTGCGGCCCGGACAGCAATCTTCAGGTCGCAAAACCTCTCTCTCTGGAGGAGAGAGAGGTTAATCTGCAAGTCCTTCGCACATACTATGTACAGGCAGTCAGATCAGTGGTCGACTATGCCGCACCTGCACTCACAAGTCTATCACACCAACAGTGGGGAAAGCTTGAAGTTGCCCAAAACAATGCTATGAGAGCTGCCCTGGGAGCCTCCATGTGGACCAGGCTTGAAACGCTAAGACTGGAGACGGGTTTGCCCTCTCTTCAAGAAAGAATATCACAAAGAACAGCTACAATTATCAGTAAGATAACTGTTTCCCCTGATTCAGTCCCAGTACGGCAGGCCTTGGTGGTTGGACTTGGCCAAAACAATGGAAACTCTTGGGCTGCCAGAGCAGGAAATATCCTTAACAGACTACAATTAAAAAGCATGATTCTTGATAGAGGGGGTGATCATCCACACCCAAACTACACTTCTTCCACACCGTGGGAAGAGTCTACCTTCAAAATAGTAATAGAAAGTCTCCCAATGAAAAAGGCTGCCTATGATCCGACAATCCTAAGGCGCATAATAGAAGAGCAAATGTATAGCATAGCAGTAGCAGGAGTCACCCACATCTTCACAGACGGATCGGTGGACACAGAATATGAGAGTGCTGGCGCTGCTCTTTGCACGGCCAGCGTACAGGCATATTGGAGACTGGGAGGACCAGTATCATCAACCCAAACTGAGCTGTTTGCCATACAACAGGCATTCGCATATGTGATTGCACAAAATACTCAAAATGCAATCATACACACAGACTCAAAAGCTGCACTTCAAATATTAGGACAAAAACAATGATAAGATAACGTGGAAAAAATTACCACCATTTTGTATCTTGGAGCAGTCGCTAAAGGCAAAGGACTCAACATAACTTTAAACTGTACCCCATCCCATGTTGGAATCCCACCAGTTCGACCAGGGCAGAAAGACTAGGTTGACCAGGGCAGAGAGAGACCGGGTCGACCAGGGCATAGAGACCCAGTCGACCAGCGCATAGAGACCCAGTCGACCAGGGCAGAGAGACCCAGTCGACCAGGGCAGAGAGACCCAGTCGACCAGGGCAGAGAGACCCAGTCGACCAGGGCAGAGAGACCCAGTCGACCAGGGCAGAGAGACCCAGTCGACCAGGACAGAGAGACCCAGTCGACCAGGGCAGAGAGACCCAGTCGACCAGGGCAGAGACCGGATCGACCAGGGCAGAGAGACCCGGTCGACCAAGGCAGAGAGTCCCGGTCGACCAAGGCAGAGAGACCCGGTCGACCAAGGCAGAAAGACCGGGTCGACCAGGGCAGAGAGACCCGGTCGACCAGGGCAGAGAGACCCGATCGACCAGGGCAGAGAGACCCGGTCGACCAGGGCAAAGAGACCGGGTCGACCAGGGCAAAGAGAGACAGGACAATAAACAGAGACAGACAAAAACAGATAAAGACAAACTGCAGCAAAGATAGGGAGAGTAGGAAGGACAAGAGAGGAGAAGGGGGGACGGGGATGTTTGAAGAGAGGGAAGGAGAAGGGGAGTACGAGGGGGAGGAGACGTGAGAGAGAGAGAGAGAGAGAGAGAGAGAGAGAGAGAGAGAGAGAGAGAGAGAGAGAGAGAGAGAGAGAGAGAGAGAGAGAGAGAGAGAGAGAGACGAGAAGGCGGGGTAGGAAGATTGGGAAGAGAAGTGTGAGAGGGGGAGAGATAGGAAGAGAGGGGAGGGGGAGATAAGGAAAGAGATGAGAGAGGGGGGGTGTGGGGAAGGGGAGAGACCCAGCCACAGCTGGATACACCCCCCCCCCCTAGCATCTTATCATCCTAGCATCTTATCATCCTAACATCTTATCATCCTAACATCTTATCATCCTAGCATCTCTATAAAACAGAAAGTCTGTTTACCTGTGTATCCGAGACTGGAGACCATCTTAGGACTGATCTATGCTTAGTGATGTGTGAGTGAATGACACGTGTCACAGGATGGTTAGGGTCGACCCCCCATGGCCCTCCTTAGGAAGGATCGGCTCCTATTCCGAATTCCAGTAACTCCTATGAAGTATGAAATATGGGCTTGACTGTCCATAGAGTGACCAAACAGATTTTACGGCTGTTATCAACATGGAATCAATAGATCCTCTTGACTGTTACTCGAAACGTTTGACCTACTGGAAGAGAAAACAGGACAGAAGGGAGAATAGGAAGGGGGGGAAGGGATAAAGGGAGAGAGGATGGGAACAATGGAGAGGCAGAGTGAGAAGGTGAGAGAGAGAGAGAGAGAGAGAGAGAGAGAGAGAGAGAGAGAGAGAGAGAGAGAGAGAGAGAGAGAGAGAGAGAGAGAGAGAGAGAGAGAGAGAGTCGGATGGAGATATAAAAAAACTGATTTCATAATAAATAAAATTCCAAATATTTAGATAAGAAAGCAATTCAGAACTTAAAACTAGAGATAAAAGATGCCTCGCATCTCTTCAAGAAAGAGAACGACGTGTAAAGGCCTGAGGAAGAAGGCTGAGGCATGAGCCATATAACGTTAAGTGATGGTAGCCAAGCCGGGTTGTAGTGGATACATCAGCCTGTGGGGGGAGGCAGGCGCCTCAAGCCACAACAATCTTTCCCATCAGTGTCAATTTCCACCCCAACCCGGCTTGGGGGAGCAGAACTGTGGCAGCCGACTACAGGTAATCGGAACACGCTCCAGCCGGCCTCTCTACACCGGCCGTAACCCATCACCACAGACCGGAGAACAGCACAAGAACTGGACACACACACACAGACGTATTGGCACATTAATAGTTTGTTTAACATTGGTGCTAAAGAATACATATTTAGCTTATGATAACGGTGAAAAGGGTATATTTTTAGAGGGGGTCAGAGCAGGAGAGGGTTATATTAGGCTACCTGTGAGGGTGGGGGAGGACGTAGAGAGGGGTTAGGGGTGGTGGGGGGTCGTAGAGAGGGGTGAGGGGGGCGGGTGTGGAGCAGGTGGGAGGCGGTAGGCACCACCACAGCTGCTCCAGCACGTGCTGAGTGGGCGGCTCATGTGTGCACTGGTAGTGTGTGTGTCCTGGGGGAGGGGGGGAGTAGTGGGCGGAGGGGGGGGGAGGGGGAGCGAACACATGGGAGGGGCTGGGTGTGAGGTGCGGTAAAACAGGAAGGAGAGGCATAGGTGAAGGGAAGTACAGAAGTAGGAAACACAGTGAGAGGTATGAAAGCAGGCGGGCTGTCCGCCTTGCTGACACGATGTGTGGGTGTTGGCAGCTAAGCTAAGCTGGCTCCCTCTTGTCAGGGAGCTGTGAGTGTGTGAGAGGTTCTTCACATGTGTTTCACCATATATGGATGTCTATTGATGAATACTGTGTAGCATTCATATATACACACTCCGATGCTTCCACACGTAGTTCTGTTTAAGGCTCTTTATTTTATTATTATTATTTATCGAGTTGTTCATACATACATACATACATACATATACTCACATATACACATATATATATATACACATACATAAACATATACACATACACATACACACAAATACATACATATACATACACATATACACATTCATACACACATACATACTCAATTTTTCAATTATGGGGGGAGGATATCTGGTCAGTATTTCATCTGGGAATTATATACTGTGGGGCGGGGTTTTCATCTAGTGAATCGAGGCTCTTGGGCCACCAGCTGTGGGAGCGGGGCGTCTCATCTTGGAGCAATGTTTCTAACATTGGGTCCTCTAACATTCCGATGGTGTTCCACACCCTGATGGCTTGGTGCTGCAGTCTGATGTTTAGTGGCTGTATGTTCAGGAGTTCATGGAGCTCCTGGATTGTCTGATCATATGGTGGACGGTGTTTTGCTGCTCTCCTTAGCGCCTTATTTTGTACTGCTTGCAGTTTCTGCATGTTAGTTTTCTTTATTGTGTGTAGTGGTACTGGGGGATACTCTAGATGCGGCCGAACTAGAGCCTTATATAGGTGGATCTGAATGTTAGTACTGAGGCTTCGGAATCTCCTCAATATTCCTAAGGCTACTTTGGCTTTGTTTAGTCGGTCCCTTACATGAATTTGTATCCCTGTTCTATTTATCATAAGTGCCAGTATTCTGCCTACCTCCGCATATTGGATCGGCTGGGTGTGAGGTGCGGTGAAGACACTTTGTAAAAGTGGGCGTGGTGGCGGGGGGGGGGGGTGAACGGGGGAGTGTAGAACTGGAGGGGCGGGGGGGGGAGAGAGAGAGAGAGAGAGAGAGAGAGAGAGAGAGAGAGAGAGAGAGAGAGAGAGAGAGAGAGAGAGAGAGAGAGAGAGAGAGAGAGAGAGAGAGGGAGAGAGGGAGAGAGCACAGTTGGAGGAGTTGGGGGAGAAGGAGGGGATGAGAGGGTTTGGACCAGGACCACGCGTCCAGCAGATACACCACAAACACACAATCAACAGCCGGCCAGGATGATGACGCAACTCTACAAACAAGGAAGTGAGGCAGTAGATGGGCTGAATGAGAGAGAGAGAGAGAGAGAGAGAGAGAGAGAGAGAGAGAGAGAGAGAGAGAGAGAGAGAGAGAGAGAGAGAGAGAGAGAGAGAGAGAGAGAGAGAGAGAGAGAGAGAGAGAGAAGGGGGAAGAAAGAGGGGGTTAGGGATAATTAGGGGGTGTAGCAAGGGTGTGATAAACGATGAGTCACAACACACGAGGGAGGGGGGGCGCGGGGGGGGGGGTTGTAGAGGCAGGAGGCGCCATACAAGTGGAGTCTGTAGCACACACAACCCACAACCCTCGCCCCTGTTGCTCTAGCTGTTGAGTGTAGCTCACGTGTTATGGCCCCCCCAGTCCCGGCCTGGGCGGGAGTGGCGAAGGGGTTACGCATGCACACATAATGCCCTCACAGACTTGACCCCAAAATTCATTTGTTTACAAGATGTAAAATATCTGGTGCAGTCATTTTTTTTTTACCTGGAGCAGCGTCACGAAGCCTGTGTGACGCAGCGTGACGGAGCCCGCGTGACGCAGTGTGACGGAACCCGCGTGACGCAGTGTGACGGAGCCCTCGTGACGCAGCGTGACGGAGCCCGCGTGACGCAGCGTGACGGAGCCCTCGTGACGCAGCGTGACGGAGCCCGCGTGACGCAGTGTGACGGAACCCGTGTGACGCAGTGTGACGGAGCCCTCGTGACGCAGCGTGACGGAGCCCGCGTGACGCAGTGTGACGGAGCCCGCGTGACGCAGTGTGACGGAGCCCTCGTGACGGAGCCCGCGTGACACAGTGTGACGGAGCCCGCGTGACGCAGTGTGACGGAGCCCGCGTGACGCAGTGTGACGGAGCCCGCGTGACGGAGCCCGCGTGACGCAGTGTGACGGAGCCCGCGTGACGCAGTGTGACGGAGCCCTCGTGACGCAGCGTGACGCAGCCCGCGTGACGGAGCGTGACGGAGCGTGACGCAGTGTGACGGAGCCCGCGTGACGCAGTGTGACGGAGCCCTCGTGACGGAGCCCGCGTGACACAGTGTGACGGAGCCCGCGTGACGCAGTGTGACGGAGCCCTCGTGACGCAGCGTGACGCAGCCCGCGTGACGGAGCCCGCGTGACGCAGCGTGACGGAGCCCGCGTGACGCAGCGTGACGGAGCCCGCGTGACGCAGCGTGACGGAGCCCGCGTGACGCAGCGTGACGGAGCCCGCGTGACGCAGCGTGACGGAGCCCGCGTGACGCAGTGTGACGGAGCCCGCGTGACGCAGTGTGACGGAGCCCGCGTGACGCAGTGTGACGGAGCCCTCGTGACGCAGCGTGACGGAGCCCGCGTGACGGAGCGTGACGGAGCCCGCGTGACGGAGCGTGACGCAGTGTGACGGAGCCCGCGTGACGCAGTGTGACGGAGCCCTCGTGACGGAGCCCGCGTGACACAGTGTGACGGAGCCCGCGTGACGCAGTGTGACGGAGCCCTCGTGACGCAGCGTGACGCAGCCCGCGTGACGGAGCCCGCGTGACGCAGCGTGACGGAGCCCGCGTGACGCAGCGTGACGGAGCCCGCGTGACGCAGCGTGACGGAGCCCGCGTGACGCAGCGTGACGGAGCCCGCGTGACGCAGCGTGACGGAGCCCGCGTGACGCAGCGTGACGGAGCCCGCGTGACGCAGTGTGACGGAGCCCGCGTGACGCAGCGTGACAGCCTCATCTTCCCTTCTTAAACAAAAGTCTAAACTATCTTGACAACACAGAAGAGAGGCGGCCCAGTAGGAACGGGGGGGTGTTCCTGGGTTCGATTCCCCGGGCTGGACAGAAACGGTTGGGCACGTTGTACGTACTGAGGTCCCCCCCCCCCTCCCGGTGGAACTACTCCCCCCCCCCTCTCCCCCCTACAGGATGTAACCCTACATCAGTTAACTAACTCCCCGGGTACCTATATATATTATTATATTGAAGAAAATAACGCTTCTGATAAGAGAGGGTTAAATTGACGAGTGTGTGTGTGTATAGGGCTCGGCCGCAGCTTGGCCGAGCACAGCCTGGGGTCGGGCTGGGGTCGGGGGCAGCTTGGCCGACCCCAGCCTGTGGACGGGCTGGGGTCAGGGGCAGCTTGGCCGACCCCAGCCTGTGGACGGGCTGGGGTCAGGCGCAGCTTGGCCGACCCCAGCCTGTGGACGGGCTGGGGTCAGGCGCAGCTTGGCCGACCCCAGCCTGAGGACGGGCTGGGGTCAGGCGCAGCTTGGCCGACCCCAGCCTGTGGACGGGCTGGGGGTCACATAAGCCTTCTGGTTTAATTCATCATTTAGGTTGGCCAAAGCAGATGCGTATTTTACGCCCGTATTTATTCAGCCGTTCATCACAACATGGCGTCGAATGGTTATCAATCCTGCAGCACCCGTGCCCAACCTGTTCCCAAAACAATGGCCAAAATTCATTCCATGCAGCAGCTGCCCCCCACCCTCTCTCCAGTGTATGAATGAAAGGAACTTTATACACGCCCCGGCTACAATCATGTTCAACCCGTCCTCACGCCAGGCTCGTTTAAGCTGCGGCCCCCCACCCCCCATTGACGCATTCATCAATTTTAACGTATTGTGCTTTAAAAAGCTATTTGTTTTCATTTATATATAAATATTATATAATAAAGTTCTATGTATAGTTAAGCGTAGGTTAGGTAATTTCAGTTGACGATTATTTGCATTTACAACCCGTCCTCGACTCAAGTCCATTCCATCCAGCGGTCGACCCCACAGACGCATTCATGAATTTGAATATGCTTTCCATTCAAAAACAGGAATTTTCTTAAATATAAATTAACATTATAATATATGAGCATATATTGGAATAGGTTAGGTTAGGTGTTAAGGTCCTGTTGGCGATTATTTGTATTTGTAGTACGTGGGTGAAGCATTTATAGCGTTGTGATTCGAACAAAATTCGTCAGTGAAACACTTGTTCCGGATATGTTCGAACGTCAGCAGTTGTGAGTCGTGTGTAAACCGCTTTTCATTCATAAACAGGGGGTTTGGCGGGTGCATGGAATCACTTTTGGATCTTTGTTTAGAGGACGGGCTGGCGGGCTGACGACTTAACTGATCAGCCAGCTCGTCCTCCAAACAAAGATCCAAAGTGATTCCATGCACCCGCCAAACCCCTGTTTATGAATGAAAAGCGGTTGATATATAAGAATACTTAGCAAGAGGGTAAATATAAAAATGTTGTGGATTCCTTCCCACATTAACCTGCAGGAACATGATAAAGTTGACGCCCTTGCTTAAGGTTGCAGTAAATAAAGACAGTATTGAACGGAATCATGAGTTATGAAATAACTCCAGATTTATCAGCATGATGTCTAATAAAGACCTTTTTGCGCTACCGCTCACAGGATGAGTATGGGGTGCACAATAAACTAGTCGCCTCCGGTGACAACAATAACAAAAAAAATACAAAATACAAAACACGTGACGCCGCGGCTTGGGCGAGCACAGCCTCGTGATGGGTTGCTCTAGCCTATCACAATTACCATACATTCCCACCCTAATGTCTCCCCTATAACATAAAAATGGGGAATGGAGAAATGATGATGATAACGGCCCAAAGCTCTACGGACCCTGGACACCCACAGTACTTTTTTTTCTACCACAGACGTGGCCACATATTTACAATGCTAACCAGCATATATACATTTTCTTCTGTCCTCCATGGACAGGGGTTACCTTGAGGTGCTTCCGGGGCTTAACGTCTCCGCGGCCCGGTCGTCGACCAGGCCTCCTGGTCCGGGGGGGGGGAGCGGACAGCACGCTGGACGTGTGATCCTGTGGTCCTGGGATCGATTCCGGGCGCCGGCGAGAAACAATGGGCAGAGTTTCTTTCACCCTATGCCCCTATTACCTAGCAGTAAAATAGGTACCTGGGTGTTAGTCAGCTGTCACGGGCTGCTTCCTGGGGGTGGAGGCCTTGTCGAGGACCGGGCCGTGGGGACACTAAAAGCCCCGAAATCATCTCAAGATAACCTCAAGATAGGTCTGGTCAACCAGTCTGTTGGACGACGCTGCACGCAGTCGGACGTGGCAACCATAGCCTGGTTAAAGTTATATCCTTTTGGAGATGTTTATCATGTTCCCTCAAGACAAGTTATCATTCAAAAATAATTAAGTTTGGAACTTACGAAGACCATCGGTGGCGAATCATCAAAAAGACGAGAAGTCGAGGCCCATATATCTGGCATGAAAACACTCACAATATCCAGACTGTCACACCAACGGTGTTTAAAAATCCTTATCAGTATTTCTTCAAGCTATTTTCAACACACACAAAAAAGATCGTTGATTGACAGTTGAGAGGCGGGCCGAAAGAGCAGGGCTGAGCCCCCGCAAGCCCAACTAGGTGAATACAAGTAGGTGAATACATCTAGGTGAATACAACTAGGTGACTAGAACTTGGTGAATACAACTAGGTGAATACAACTAGGTGATTACAACTAGGTGAATACAACTAGGTGAATACAACTAGGTGAATACAACTAGGTGAATACAACTAGGTGAATACATCTAGGTGAATACATCTCACATACATGTCACACACTACACTTTGGGGGACTTCCGCTGGGCGCCGTTTGCATGTATAGCGGAGGTGTCATAAATGTCAAAAATTAGCCACGAAGCCCACCAGGTGATAGGAAATTTGTGTGACACCGCGGCCCCACCTGCTGAGTCCTTCCTCACCTGCCCTCACACTCTCCCTCCTCTCACACTCTCCCAACTCACACGAACACACTAGACAACCGACGACTGATAAGTAAGTCAAGCAAGCATCAAGGAGCCACCACTCATATACCATTAAAACACATTTAAATGACCACCATTACAAAAATAATACAGACATACATACAGGCACGACCCACAAAGTGTGGGGCAGGACCTCATTGCATCAATAATAAGCAAACGTAAGAAAAGAAAAGAAAAGAAAGCCCCAATAGTAGAATACTTACAAATGTTAAACAAAGGAGAAACTGTTGATAAAAGCCATTAAGGACTAGCAACAAGAGGCCGGCGTGACTTCACTTATCACTCTATTATATAGAAGGAAGACAGAGCTATAATATATAGAAGGGAGACAGAGAGATGTAATATAAAAAAAAATGATATTATATAGAAGGAAGACAGAGCTATAATATACTGTATAGAAGGGAGACAGAGATATAATACAGAAAAAAATGATATTATATAGAAGGAAGACAGAGCTATAATATATAGAAGGGAGACAGAAAGATGTAATATAGAAAAAAATGATATTATATAGAAGGAAGACAGAGCTATAATATAGAAGACAGAGCAATAATCAAGATAACCGTAGACACAAGATAACAATAATATAACAACTAAGCAACATAGCAGCACATGCGCGAACTTCACCAAAATATAACAAGTGTAAAAAATAAACATTAGTTGCAAAGATAAAATTATTTATCTTTAAAAAAAAAGATAACACTACCAATGCTCATAATATTATTATTATTATTGTTTTTTATTATTATTACTAATATTATTAAAATTACCATTATAATTACACAATTATTATTATAATTATTTTCCTTATTAAAGTGTTTGTAAATTATTAGTATTGTAAGAACGTAATAATACACTGTGTATACACAATGTACAGTGTATACTGTATATACAGTATGCGGAACAATGGCTGGATAAAGAGGTTGGTGAAGTCTCACCAACTCACCAACTCACCAAGAAGGAGGAAGAGTGAAGAAGTTAAACAGTCTCCGTGGTGTAGTGGTAAGACACTCGCCTGGCGTTCCGCGAGCGCTATGTCATGGGTTCGTATCCTGGCCGGGGAGGATTTACTGGGCGCAATTCCTTAACTGTAGCCGCTGTTTAACGCAACAGTAAAATGTGTACTTGGATGAAAAAAAAACGATTCTTCGCGGCAGGGGATCGTATTCCAGGGACCTGCCCGAAACGCTACGCGTACTAGTGGCTGTACAAGAATGTAACAACTCTTGTATATATAAGTATGACCAACACAGGTGACCAATATACCCGGCAGCCACTCAATTTCAAACTCAAACCGAAAAATTTATATAGTGTAGAAATGTTATTACTGGGGGACATTATTCCGTGGCGTCAAACTGCATTCTAATGCTCCGTGTTACATCTGGGTTCCTGGGGCCAGATTCACGAAGCAGTTACGCAAGCACTTACGAATCTGTACATCTTTTCTCAATCTTTGGCGGCTTTGTTTACAATAATTGAATAGTTATTGAGCTCCGAAGCACCAGGAGGCTGTTTATAACAATAATTGGGAAGTTTTCATGCTTGTAAACTGTTTAATAAACGTAACCAAAGCCGTCAAAGATTGAGGAAAGATGTACACGTTCGTAAGTACTTGCATAACTGCTTCTTGTACAGCCACTAGTAGGCGTAGCGTGTCGGGCAGGTCCCTGGAATACGATCCCCGCCGCGAAGAATCGTTTTTACAACCACGTACCCATTTTACTGTTGAGTTAAACAGAGACTACAGTTAAGGATTTGCGCCCAGTAAACTGCTTCGTGAATCTGGTTCCTGGGCTCTTGGGTTCCTCGGGTCTTATGCCTCCAGAGTATAGAAATTGGCTACTATTCCCCTAAAACTTTGCTCTGACCTTTGCCTAAGAGCAGCTTAAGGAAGACGTCTTGAAGGCGCGTGAAGGGTGGCGACTT